AAAGTACAAAAATTCATTTATTTTAGGTACATGAATGATGAAACAAATAAATCAAAGCGACTATATATATAATATAGAAAAAGAATATTAGAGTTCACATGTCGTTATTTACAAGGAACAAATCTACTGAATATTTAAAGGAGATTATAATACTCGAACAATTTATTTAATCATAAAATTTAATAAGAATAATAAAATAATATATTTCACACTATATTATTTTATCTTTTAAAATATTTTACCAGTTTAATTTAAATATATTAAAATTAAAAATTTAAAAGAAAATCAATTTTATTTTAAAATAAAAATATATTATAAACTTTTTAAGTTTATAAATAAATTTTCAACCATTTATCATTACCCTATAATACTCTAGTTGCAATTGGTTAGTTTCAACTAACGTGCCATCAATAATATTAATTTCACAACACTTTAGGATCACTGCTTAGCTAAAGAATTAAATATCAATTATCATCTTCATGTAGACTCCATGATCATGTAACATGAGCCATGACTTTACCTAGCGCGACCTTCGTTTATTTTTAGTTATCATAATTTTTTTTAGTCAAACGATAGTAATGTGTGTTGATTATCCATTTATTTTTAGTTATCATAATAATTTTTTTTAATCAAACGATAATAATATGTTCTGATTAACGATAGTGAGTTTAATAGTCAATATATGCTTAAGCATTGGGTGTATATTTGAGACCATAATTTATGGTTTCTTGTAATGTGATCTATTGACAAGTATTTTGTCAAAAAATGCAAATCAGATTATAAACCAATGAAATAGAAGCCATACTAAAAAAATACTGGGCCATACAATTTGTATTAGGTTTGTTAGTTTAGCCCAAATAAAACATGCATAAAATTTCATTTTTCTACTACTTTCCCTTTACTTCCAAAAATGAAGGGTACAAAACTAGCCCATTAAAATATTCATCGATTTAATTATAAGCGTAATTAGAAGTTTCGTTAAGAGTATTTAAAATTTAATCCCTCTATTTCATATTAACTGAATGTTGGGGGTTTTTTCGTTATTCAGAATAATTGGATTATGTTAAAGTTCAAGATGGATGTCAATTTTTTTTCTTTCTATATTTGCTTTTTTCTATAATGAAGTTTGCTAGAGTATTCCCCATGAGGCAAATTATACAACTTACAAAGTTACATTTATGATTTCATAATGGGCAATAGCAGAAAATGTAGTTTGAATTATGTCATTGAATATTTTTCTCAATAAGTGTACATTGCGTCACAAATTAAGTTAATATGGCTTCTCTATATCCCTTGCTATCTTATTTTCACTATTTCAAATATCATATTTTCTTTAATATAATATACATAGTCATAATAATTATTCTTAATTTAATAATTAAATAAACTATAGAAACATAAACACAAAAAATAGAACTTGGTGTGAGTGTGGATAAGTTGGGCTATGACCCAATGTTTAGATATCAAACGGCATCAATCCTTCTTTTTAGCAAATTTTGGTGAAGCTAGCAAAAAAGTAATCTAATAATGGAGATAAAAAATATTATCAACAGTAGTAACTAGTAAAAGTTACTACACAACTATGAGCTTTAACGGACTTTTTTTTTATGCAGTATCTGATGATCGTATTGGGGATTCGATTAAATTTGAATCGTGCACTATATGACTCATTTAATTAGAAATAACGCCTTCAAATCCCAATAAAATTCTTTTCAATACCTAAAAGTCAAATTTGAAATGTTGAATTAATGATTGAAGAATGCTACACAAGCATCAACACTAAAGCCCATTTTGGGGTGAGATGTTTCTTATAAAGAGTATTAGAAATGAAAATGGTATTATAATAATGGAGAATCAAGAAAAAGTAAGAGAAGAATTATCTAGAAATATGCAAAGAAAAAAATTATATTACTATATTATAAGGTGTCTAATCAAAAGATTTATTTATTTCTCCAAATTTGACTTACTACATTTTAAGCGTTTAATTTCTATGTTTGATTGCATATTTACTCCGCTATTTTAGCCTCGTTTTATTGCAACTCCATTCATGCACCAAATCCACAGATAAATAGTAAAACTGAGACTATATTAATAAGTAAATAACACGTGAAAAGCCAAATCGAAGAAGGAAAAACTAGGGAAGAAATTATAAATGGAAGAATCAAATCCTTATTTATAAGGTGAAAATTTATATAGTTAACTAAGTGATTTACTAAGATTTCTCTTGTTCTAGAGCAAGTTACACAACGAAGAATTAAATCTTTATTAATGATATATTTTCTTGGCTTTCTAAAAAGTATACAACAGAGATGAAATACCTGACAAGAAAAATCAATCGATCTTAATAACTCTTGCCCAACAAATATATTAGGATTGTCTTACCTATTGCATTTGAGCTTACTAAATAATCTTGTTTTATAAATTAGATAATACATCAATCAAAATAAGTGAGAAAAATATTTTATCGATCTATTCATGCATAAACTAAACACGAAGTATGGAATTAATAAACAAAAGTAAATATATAAACATCTAAAACAATTTCTTAAATTCAAATTTCCCTTATGTTCTTTTTCATCATTTGTTCTTACATTCCTTAAAAACAAATTCAGAAGGTATACAAGTTATTATACCAGAACTTATAATAAGGAAATTACAATACAAAAAAAAAAAGTTCATCAAAATTAAAAACCCAAAACTACCCTTACAAATTACAAAATGTTAAAAAAAATAATTCCCAACCACCCTTTTTCTTGTACAACGAATAAAATACAAGATTCACAAATTAAATTAGATTAAATCGACTCAATCTCAACCCTAACGTAACAAAAATTAAGATAAATACTTTAGTAGAATAAATTAGTCACACAATAAAATACAAACAAAGCAAACTTTTGGGTTTGCTTTTTTTTTAAAAAAAAATATTGAATGAATTATTTCCTACTACTATTTTAAATTAAATAGTAGGAATTAATTTCCTAAAATCATGTTAAAAATTATCACAGGGGTCCACAAGAGAAAAGAGAAACACATCACGTGAAGGCGCAAGTTAGCTGAAGACAATGCAATTTTAAGAAGCTTACGCTTCTTCCGTACAACTCATCGGCGCCGCCGTTGACGGTGGTTCATCGGCGGTATTCATTTTCTTCATGTTCTGTTCATGATAAATTTGTCTTAGTCTCTCAATTTCTTTCTTCAATGCTTCTTGATGAGCTACAAAATTCACATGAAAAAAATTAAATTAAATCGCGTTTTATATTCAATTATATATATATACCGTATAATTTTCCGATTCAGATGAACGTGTGGATTTAATTGCATTAAAACTCTAGACATGGGGAAGACCCTCATTTGTTTCAAAAAATTAAATACTATGGTTACGTAGAGCTTTAAATAGAGGCTAATTCTTTAATTTTGGCTAAACATGTTAATTATGTCGCTACACTATGATTAATTATTCTTAGTCAAATGCATTAATGTACAGATAATTAATACAAATCATTAATTGCATGCATGTCGTTTGTTTCCGAGTCAGTATGATCATGAAATTATCATCGATATCGATTCATTACGAAAGAAACTATTCAAAAATATTATTCTATCCAGTTCCTACGAAATCTATCACTAAAATGCTCTCGGAGAGAGAAATAAAAATTATTTTTTTCGACACGAAATTTATGAATAAGTGATTATTTGATAAAAAGCGAGTCGGGTTTTTAGTACTAACCATCTTTAAAAATCTTATCTTGAGCCAAAGCTGCAATTCGTTGCCTGAGTGCGCTATTATCAACGTTAAGAAGTAGCCTTTGATGGTCCAAAAATGCAACTCTTGGTGATAATGCTGATACTTCAGTCTAGATTTTAAAGAAAAAAAGTTAATTAGCATTAATTTTATTAATTACTCATTAATTAAAAGCACATGATTAAATAATTAATGAACAATTAGTTTTGAGTAATTAAATTATAAACTTACTTGCAGAGTAGTTACACTTCTTTCCAGTTCTGAAATGTACTGTAATTTTCTAACTCTCGATCTCTGAGCTGATTGCCTGTTAGCTAATATTCTAAAAGAAGAACAAAAAAATAATAATTAATTACTCTCGAATCGGATTAAATTTGAATTTACATAAAAAAAAATAAAAATAATTTCATCTATTTAAACTCGAAACTGTAATTAAGGACGAAGAAATCCTTTAACATTTTTATATGCAAAATGCAAAAATTAATGATTTAATTACCTCTTAATCCTCTTTGGATCCACAATAGAATTATTATTATTATTATCAGAAGAATCATTCACCGGATTTTTACTAGTCACCGGCGATTGATTATCACTATCATCTTCTCCGGGCTCATTCTTCGGCTGAACCACTAGATTAACCTCCAATCTGACCGGCGATTTCTGATCTTCATTTTCACTGACTTGATCCGACGGCGTAGAAGGATTCGTACTCGACGGATTCGAACACGGCGCCGTACCAGCAAACGCAGCACCGGCGCCGCTATCATCGGAAAACATAGTAGTAAGTAGTTCATCATCCAATTTATCGAATCCGTTACTCAATCCGTTTCCTCGGCATTGCTGGAGAAACGGAGCTTCGACGAACGCAATTGGATCGCTAACTGATCTCCGGTGAGAATTTCTCCGGGAAGATGAGAAATCGAGGAAATCGTCTACCCAGGAATTAGTAGTGTGGTGATTGGAGACGATGGTGGAGGAATTAGGCAATGGAGGCATGTTTTGAAAAGGCCAATTGTGTGCCATAGTAGGAACTTTAGGTGGTAGTTGAGCCATGCAATAATGAAATTTTGGTAAAAGTTTCAATTGTATTGAAGAATTTGAGGTTTTTTTGGGATGTAAAGAAGATGAAGTAAAGGATATATAATAAGGTGTATTATGAATACATCTATTTGAAGAGGTAAAGTTGGTAAAAATTTATTCCTATACACTTCATATTCATATCATATAAATAAATGCATGATATTATGATATGTGTCTATACACACACAAAAAAAACAATTAAAAAAAATGTAGTACTTGACTATTAATTGGCATGCATTATTATATCATTTAATCACTAAAACATCAATAACATATTTAATGAGATTCTAAGCTGTTCAGTAAGGAAAGATCGTATCCGCGTAGAGCAGCTAGGGCTAGAGCAGCAATCTTCTTACTTCCGGCTGACTGAAAGGGAGAATAAGACTCTTTATTTGCCTTAGTTTGCGAAAAGAGGGGTCGTGATGATATCATCTACGTCCGTACCGCTCCTCGTGGAGTAGATCCCGCATCCAACCAAGTCTTTGACCAGGGAACGGGTGTGATCTACAAAGGGTAGAATATATAATGACCGATCTTATCATTATCATGTAGAAATAGAAAGTTTTTTTTTTTTAAATATCATCGATTCAAGAACAACAAATCCAAAGAACACCTAAATAGTGTGACAATTGAAACATAATAAACAAATCATAACAATACTGAATGTCAAAATTTACGCAATGTAGAATATATATGTAAGGAACTATTGTAACAACAAGGTGCGTTCAACAAAACACATGAATGGTTATATTAGTTATGAAAAGGCAAACACTACGTATAAATTACTACGATGCTCTATACTATCACCAAGTCAACTATTTGACTACTAATAAAGTAACTCATAATTACCTACTAACCTTTTACTTTTATTAACAATCTTCGTATCTTACTATCTAAAAAAAATCATGTTTTCGGTAAACTATTTAATTTTGTTTTTTTATTTGAATTTGGAGGGAGAGGAATAGTGAGTCACATGGGAAGGGATTAAGGACAGCTAGCAACAGCTGTGAAGAGAGGGAAATTAGTCTTTTCTCAACGGTTTATTAACTGGAGGAATCAGCCACCACGTGCCTACCGATGTGACCCTTTTGACCTTTCCTCTTTTTTTTTTTGAAAAAATTAGTAACAAAGTAAATTATTGTTATTTTACGCACGATATTCACATTAAAATTTAATTAAATTATGATTCATACGAAAGCACATACTAACAAGAAAAATTTCATTTTAAAACATTCGAATTCAAAATTTTTTAAAATGATTTGATTTGGTGAAATAGTTGCACCCCTTACCATAAGTCATAAACATTTACACAATATTTTGTAAATAAAACAAGGGACTAAAAATGAATGGTATATAGAAATGAGAAATCCTTGCAAATTGGATAAAGAAAAAACATAAAGTTATAGTATTATATATAATATTGGATAAATAAAATTAAAATATAAAGGATAAAGGTATAGTGGGGGTTATGTAGGGAAGATGAGTTTGTGGAAAAATAAAAAGTAAGATATTAGAATCATGTCTTCTTCTTTCTTCCCCATGTGAACTGTTTGTAATTGTTATACCCCTATCTTCCTCTTTCTTTTGTCTCAAATCACACTCACATGGAGGCTATGTGAATGTCCCTTTTAGAAAGAAAAATAAAAAAAAAGAAAGACCTAGCCCGCCTCTTGTCTTTTTTTATATATTTTTCGTTTGATGTTCGTGTTCGTAATAAATTTTAAACATGTAGAAAATAAACAAATTATACAAATAAAATTCGAATAAACATAAATATTTTATTGATAATCAAGATTGAGGTTACAATTCTGCTCCTCCCTTGAATCACTCTCATAGTATTTATCTATTATCCAAGAATCGAAGGTCGTTTGTGCCATATTTCTAATCTACTCTCATAAGATTTATCCCATGAATCGAAAATCGTTTGTGGTATATTTCTCAAACTAGGATGATTTATATCTAGGTCTCGATCTTTAAAAATACCCAAGAGTTTTTGAGATATCTTTTAAGAAACCTTTATATAGGTATGAACTAGGGGTTTAGGATTGAGTAACCTTCGAAAATTCTAATTGAAAATGAACACACCTTCTAAAGTCTCAATTCGAATTGAACATATCTTGTAGAGTCTTACAAAATTTCAATATCTAACGTTCAATATTCATTTTGATGTTAGGTTACTACAAAGCATATTGAAAATTAAATAAAATTCAACTCGTTAATAATATTTTCAACCATTTCAATAAGAAACATCTATAAATAGCTCCTATTTTTAGTAATATTTATCAAAAAAAATTATATTCAAAATTTAGATACGAAATATCTGGTCTATAACCGAAGGGTATTCCCCTGTAAAACCTTTGGTGGTCCAATACACCCCCACCTCTAACATTAATAAAAGACTTCAACCAAATCCCTAACTATATAGTTTAATTTTTTTGGTAGTTTCCTAGCACCATCACCCTATATTATGCATTTATTATCAATGATTCTTTTTTCTTTTCTTAGTAATTTAAAAAAAAATATTATTTTAAAAGAGAAATAAATAATAAGGGGGACACTAATAATGATTAGTGATAAGTTCTAAAGGCATGTTAAATAGCTCTGTCACGCAGCAAACTTGTCTACTGCATGTGCCTACTTACTACTATATGTTTATTTCAATATAATTTAGTATTATTATCTTCTGTTTTTGTAAAGTTTGAGATCGTTGATTTTATTATTCTATATATAAAATAATTTTGATTCCCTCTTTGTCATGCATTTACAATAATAATCATAAAAAATAAATAAAACCAACCCCTTGTTCAAGTTAACTTGAATAGGACGTCTTAAATCAATTTGCTCTTTTTCTATCCTTTTTAATCTTGTTTTTGATTAAAATATTAGAAAGGGAGCGTCGGAATAACGAGAGTTTATTTCAGAGTAATATACACATTACGATGTAAAAGCTATTTTTTTGTTGATATGTCATGAGTTCGATCCATGCAAACAATTTATACTATATCATTATGTATTGTTTTAGGAATTATGATGCATTTTTTTCTGAACTTCTATTAATACGAAATACTTTGTGCTATGTTTTTAGAGAGTAAACAATTAATCTTGGATCATATTCTTGATTTTAAGTTCACCACTTTTTATATTCGAACGTGGTTAATTTAGAATCTTGAGGGATTATTTGCTCTCCATAATTCATACTATATTTCATTATGTTGTTGAAAAATGATATTTCAAAAAAAGAAGAAAAAATAAAAAAAATCTTCTATTTTTAATGAGAAGCTTAGAATTTAAGTTGAGCTCTTTTTATGACAAGAACTTAAATTAATCAGAAATGATTACACATAGATTTATAAATGAAAAAATATTGACATATTTAATAAAAAAAATAATCGTTAAAAGTTTCCATAAACTCTCTCTTTTTTATTAATTTCATACTTCAATTATTGGATTTTTCTTGTTACCCCATATATTATAACTTTCAAGATTAATTAAAACCCCTTGGACTCAATGTTTTTTAATGTGTGTAGTATTTCATACTCATAGATACTCAAAATGTATTAATTAACTAACACGTTACATGTCATTTGAAGTTAACTTATACGCATCTTAACTAGTTCTACAAAATACATTTTAATTATTTAAACTTAAAAATGACACATAAAACTCCAAACCATTAATATATTTAAGATTTTAATTATTTTTTTTAAAAAAAACATAGTTAGGTCATGATAATCCAAGGAGATTAGCATGTGCAATCCAGAAAAGAAATACCATTTTTATTAAATAAGCAACAAAGATTCTTTAGGTTAATATATTTTAGTTAATTAATATTCCTCACCATAATTGTCTTTAAATTTATTTATTTTTAAAATTATAAATTTTTGGATTGGTGAAGATCCCAAGAAAATTCTCAAAGAGGGGTCCGTACATGAAAATAGTATTAGCCCATAGGACAGAAAAGTAACATTATTGCACGTGGGAGGAGCCATAAGGACCCTACATGTTCATTTCAATCACAAATTATATACTTAAATGAAAAGTTGTTAAAGTTGAAGGACCATTCGACAATTAACTTTTTTGTTGAGGGGACACACAGAAACCAAAGGGTGTTAAATGTATAAATAATAAAAAGAGTGGGTCCTTCTTTAGCATAATTTCACCAACTTATGGGGAGACAATGTAATATACCAACTCAAGTGTTTTTTTAGAACATTTGATTTTAGGTTGATTGCATATCATGATTTTATATTACGAGATAAATCTTATATTCTTCAAAAATTATGATTTAGAATTTTTCAAATACGTAGATTCGGAAGTTTATATTTTAATGATCCCACGGTTATATCTAGTAGTTATTGATTTCATATGTTAAATTTTTTTATAATTGTATTACTACTTTTTAATAAATTTATTATTTTCACCAATATAAAATTTCTTATTAGTTTAAATCAATTCCTACTTTATCATTCAAATTCATTATTTTTTTTAATTATATTTATTTATCAAAAGTTCATCTATTTTTAGTGCATAAGACGGACCATAATGATTTTGTAATAATTTATAATACGATTTGATAATTTTTTATTTATTTGGTAAATTAAATAAATAATTAAAAATATTTTAACAGTTTTACAACTTATAAGATTCTTAAGTAAAAAATATACCACACAAAAATTTCAAAATCATATATCTAAACAAAACTACAACTTTTATCTCATTTTATATTAACTTACTATTAAAAATTCTAAATTAGCTGCATAAGCATTTACTAGAGGTCAATTAAAGGATAAAAGTTGACTGTGATTATTATTTGGAACTATTATATCATATATATATATATATATATATATATATTACAATGTATGTAAACAATTGTAAATATTTATCTCATCCGAGTACAACGGCAAGTAAGATATTAAGTCCTGCGACATAGATCCAATTTTAATGTCAAATTATAACACAATGAATAAGCAACAACAAGCTTCAAGAAGCAATCTGAGTTTGAGGATTACTACGACTTAGTTATTTGTTTCTACTAGTAATTATGTTGGTGACAGCCTAATGAAAATGAAAGATAGTGTAAAGTTCAGCTACCATGGATTATACCATGGA